ACCCCTTTGAGGTATTGCACGTTTGGCCAATTTGTTTATTTTTGAAGTTTTGGGAAAAAATTGAAATTTCTGCTCTTTGAGCTCTTTTCAGGCACCTTTCTTTGTAAAACCATCAAAATCATCTCAATTCGAAATATGTTTTCCATTCATAAAATGAGACAAGAAAACAGAATACAACAAAAAATACCATACAAAAATACACTGAAAAATCGCTGTTTATTAAAAAAAAAAGGGAAAATTTTTTTTTTTTCTATTATCACTGTGTGCGCGGATTTTTTTTAGATGGCACACGGACCACATGACCCATTTTTTCATATGAAGGCCTCCAGCTTTTCCCACTAGTTTGAGGCGCTAGAATTTATGAACTAGTCGTCAAAAACCCCTCGGAAAGACTCTAGTACGAAGAAAACCCCAAAAAGGGGTTTAACAAATTTCTTCGAGTTTTCAAATAATTCATATTATACAAGAAACCCCCTCCTTGCCTTCAATATTGGCAGTAATTATGAGAGGATTAATTTACAACCATGGTGTCTCTTTATTGGTAAAAAAACTACGAAAGGGTCATAATTTTTTCCCAAATTTAAAAGTCCAGTGTTTTTGAGAATTAAAAAAATGCTTTATCAAAATATAAAGAACAAATGTACATGCACTCTTGTTTTTTTAAAATTTATTAATGTAAAACCCTTTTTGGTGTTTAGGGTGGCCACCTCATTCAATTTTTTATAATTAGGGTGCTTCTGGAAATCGTCTGTTTCACACCCCAAAACACTTTTTACAGTAATCAACATAAAAAATTTATTCATCCCTTTAGCATTCCCAAAATTATATTATCATTTTTCAAACATACAGCTTGCTTGGTATTTTAATTTTTTTATTGTGTAAAACTTTTCTATTTTAAAATGTAAAACGTTATTCTAACTTACAGTTTTAAAATAAAAACCCCCCAGTTCCATATAATGGCGGGCCCTGCTTAAACAGCAGGTTGTTTCTGGGTAATATGTTAAAACAACCCATTTCCCTTTTAATGGGGGGCCCCCACTTAAACAGCGGTTGTTTCCGGGTAAAAAAATAAAAACGGTTGATGCCGCCGGGGCCCTTGCAGTGTTGCGGGAAGACACTGTCACCAGATTCGGGTGTCATCTGCAAAAAAACCCGGGTCTGTGGGGACCCCTTTGTCTATGTCATTAGAGGAGAGAAGAAGATTTGACGGTACTAAAAAAGTGAAACAGCTTTTTTTCACTTTAAAATTTCATAAAAAAGCCTGTAAATGTTTTCAAAATTTATTTAATTTAAATGAACAATAGAGTAGGGCTAAAAAAAAAAATTACATTCTCTCCTCACTTGCCATATCGTTTACTAATGTCTCGGCTTAGGTGGGCTATCTGACCCCGGGGGAACCTAAAAAGTATATTAGAGCTTTTTCCTCTTATTTTTTTTTTCAAAAAGAGACATTATTGAAAACAGTTAAAAATATACTAGATAGTTAAAATGGGCAAAGGTGACATTAAAAAAATATAAAGATGGTTGACACAAACCCCCCCCCCTACTATTATAGTAGATCCCCCACTTAGTGACGAATTTCTTTAATGACATGGTCTCGGTAACGGAACTCTGTTGTTAAGTGAGGAGAGGCTGTACAGTACACACAATACTTACCTTAAAATACTTCTTGTCCTTAACTTTTAATGAGTGGTAAATATATTTATTGTATGAAATCTGAACAAATAAAGAATTAGTATAATTGAAAACTGCTGCATTTATGAAATGTCATAAAGCAAAGTGCTGTAAAGTGGGGCCTGCCTGTACTATATGGTGCTACAGTGTAATAACATTAACCACACATTGATCAGAAATATGTTATGACTTTGCAAAGAAATGATTTATTATGTTAGTAAATTTTTTCATGGAACTCAATGAGTAACATTGATTTCTTAAAATTTATTGTTTGGTATGCATAAGACAAAAGTAGAGCAGGCCAGTTCAGCGTTAAATGCTTGTCAGCCTCTGACTTAAATACAGTATAATTATATTTTGCAAAGTTAATTCCAAAAGATAGTGAAAACTAAATTGAGTTTAAGGTTTGCATATGTTTTTTTTCTGCATGTACACAATTCTCCTCCTGAAGTGAGAAACAAGATGGCCATTGCAAGACACTTCCTAGATTACTGTGAGAAAGCCAATAAAAGAATTTATGCCAGCAACTGGTGTGGTTTACACACATTCTAGGCTCCTCTACATAGCAACTGACTGGGTAAATATTGAAGTTATTGTTCATTAAAACTGTAAAAGAATTTCAATGCAGACAGATTAGACTTTCAAGATTAAATTATTTGGTTACATATACATACCCCATTTTGTATGTCTATTTATGTCAGCTGGAGACAAGTAAAATCGAACGTAGATCTATGTTCGGAGTGCTACACGAGCGAACGTAGATCTACGTTTAGACAGTTGAACCCTTTCAGGGTCCGTCCCGTAGATCTATGGCTTTACGTTCAGGGTCCAAACCGTAGATCTACGCCATGAGCTCAGCTCACTCTGATAAACTGTGAGTGGTACATTTGGGCCTAGATATGAGAGAATACATCTATGTGGTATGTGTGCACCACATAAAACAGATCCTGCAGCACACTGTGTATAATGAGAGAAAAAAAATGAAATCATGATTTTTCGATTAAAACCGCAACTTTGCAGTGTTTTTTCGTATGTTTTTTATAGTTGTATTTGTGATTTCTTGGTCTCGTTTGATAGAATGGAAGACATATTACAGAAATAGAGATGATTTTGATTGGTTTTAGCATTGGAAATGGCTTGAAACTGAGCTCAAAGTAGCGGAATGTTAAATTTTTGCCGATATTCAAGAGTAAACAAACGACCTCACACGTCTAATACACGTCAGCTGGTGGGTCTAATATACATTCACAAATATGGTGATGATATTATACAATTATTACAGTATTGAATAACAGTAAATCTTCTATTTTTGGTGTGAATAAAATTCATTATGTGAATAAAAAATCAAAATGGAATTTATTTGTAAAGCCTCAAAACATAACTAATGAACAGAGGAAATGTTAGTTTAGTGCCAGGAATGCCTACATTGTTCATTCTGGACCCTATTTTGAAATTG